GCCGCAGCAGCAGCACGACGGCTGCATTTACATAGATTCCCGGTAAGCCGTGAGTCGTATACCCACAATATCGGACAGCCGTGGCCCGTGAGTCGTATAGCTACACTATCGGACACTGCCCAGAGGTCGTCGACGTGGTGGCGTGCCCTTAACGTTGGGACGGTCAAACACCGCGCTTGGCCGAGGGGCAAGACGGACTTCGCAGGTCATGAAACAGCCATCAAGTGTGATGGGTCGGGTTAATGCATGTGTTATTGACGGCCTGCACAGCGAATTTTGTCAACTGAATAGTTGCATCACAGTGTATATGTATGTGTGCGCGGTATGTGTGTGTGTGTATGTTTTTTTTTTTACTTCAGCTCAGTAAGTAAATCTTCCATATGTTGTGCACTTGCTCCATATTGACATTTCAATATATGATACCTAATGAGCACCTCTGGGTGCGATTAGCGTGAACAGTTCATTTCTTCAAGCAATTACGTCACGTACATACGTGATGTGAAAATTAATGCCTACCACCATTACCATAACCAAGAAGCGAGACAGAAGCTCTGTCATAATAATGACTTAGCGGGAGCATGACCGTTGAGCACAGCGACCCAGTCAATCAAGGTCCCAATGGTGGCAGTTGCGGCTGAACGCATAGCGAATTAGAATCGTCTGGACCTTGTCGGTTGGCAGCTCTGACCGTCCGCCGGGCCCATATATTTAAATTAGATAACCCATCAAGCGGTAGGTACTACAGAATCTGTAGGGCGATATTGGGCACTAATGTATAACACCATATGGATGTCTCCGCATGCCCGCCTGGTTCCAGTCGACTCAGCGCCGCACACTAGACACGCGGGTCCCACTGCGCCGGACACTGCACACGCGGGTCCCACTGCGCCGGACACTAGACACGCGGGTCCCACTGCGCCGGACACTAGACATGCGGGTCCCACTGCGTCCAGTGACCCCCGGAAGGCGCCGTCCATCACACCCTGCGTGGGCCTCCCAGGACTGGTGCACGGCGCGGCTGCAGCACATAATGCAGGCACTCCCGACACGCCTAATAATGTTGAGGCTGTCTCTCATGCCGCCTCACTCAGCCTTAGGGCAGTGACCGTGGTATGTGCGGCGCAGTACCCGGTGCCCAGCCCCTCGTCATACGTTACTCCTGTCCCGGCGCCTTCGCTCACAGGTGTCGACTGCTAAATTGTGGCTCGCAGCACACCGTTTAGCGATAGACCACTCGGGACTAATCCGACGGGCGAATGGACAGGGCGGATCTGATAAATCACTCAGACAGAGACAGATATACGGCACGCATGGACGAAGCATACAATTGACACCAGATGCCAAACGTGACCTAGGTATTATATCTTCTCGGATGCCCCGATTTTGTCCGCCACATACCTACGGATTATGTCCAATTGTCCATTGTCCTATAGACTGTGTCATGTGTGACGCTTATTGGTCTGTACCTATATAGAGCCGGATGTTTCCAAGTGCGACGCGTAGGCGTCTGCCGTGGCTTTCATATGGAGCAGAGATCACGTTCAGCTGAATAGCTTTAATTATTATTACGGGGTATAACTACTGCGATGAAGTTTAGGACTGGCATCGGGATGGGAGATATGTTGCTTACAGCCTACAGGACATAGCCTTGCTTACAAGTAAGGACGAATCTTAAATGCGAATCACGAATGGCCTCATTTATGTCCGCGGGTTAGATGGACCTATGGTGGTGGGCGGCGGAGGGGCAATTATTCCCATGTGGGATCGCCTGGACCGCTCAGCCGAAGGACGACAGGCTTTTCGGAATAGCCAGTGGGTTACTTTCATATCCGTACTTGTGTCACCTTGGAGCGAGGTCGAGGTACTGGGGAGGGATATGAGGAAAGGCTCAAAAAGGAAAAAACGGGTCGAGGACCGAGCTCGGAGACAGTAACCAGGGCGGGTCACGGGATCACGGTCGGTACTCGGTCGTGAGGTCGCCACCCGACATGTCGCGTATGTTTTACTTTTATTCATTCTTTTTTCTGTGCCCTTGCCTTTTCGCGTCTTTTATCCGTCTGTCTAAATTTCCGACTCGCCCCTGCTACTTTCAAACTGGATAAAACGGGCAAATAGACGGTAACTCAACATCCAGCCGGAGACTAAATTTGGTCTCTCAGAGAGAAGAGAGAGAGAGAGAGAGAGAGAGAGAGAGAGAGAGAGAGAGAGAGAGAGAGAGAGAGAGAGAGAGAGAGAGAGAGCCGGTGGGTCAGCTGGATCTCATTTCGAAGTCACCTGTCCTCCATTACGGATCTGACCTCTATCCGTCTGCCCCTACCCTGCCGTGGCGCAAAAAAAAGTGGCACAGCTGACAAATGTGAGAAGTCTGAGCCCAAACAATAAGGATCTTCTCTAGTGATCGGTGTACACTCCCGTTTCCCAGCTATCTCCAACGATGATTTATTATTATCTTATTTTTAGAAATTTGGTTTGAATGGATGGATCTGCACGCCGATATCCGACTTAACCGAGCACGTTTGTAAAGTTATTTGCCCAATGACATTGCTATTTGCTAGAGATCATTACAAATAGACGTTTGGGCACCCCGGAGCCGATCCCTGACGATTAACCCGCGCCGTGCTGGTGGCCTGAACTTTCCGCCGAGTGCTGGGGGGGGGGGGGGGGGGGGCGTTTTCACGCCCCCCCGTCTAACTCGGCTCCTGGGCCACGTAGCGACACGCGGTAAGCGGCAATCGAAAGAGCGTCAAAAATAAGGACGAAAACACTTCGGTCATTTTTTGGGTCAGGTCAAAGGTCAGGTCACCAGAGGTCACCAAAGGTAAAATGTTGACTATTTCAACATTTTGGAAACTGCCAACGGCTATCTCGGGAACCGATAGAGCTACAGCGCCGCGGAAAAGCGCATTCGATAGCCCTTTTACAGACCTTTCTGAGTAATGTTCTCAGATTTGACCTCGGGTCAACGGTTTAGCCTCCAGAGGGCAAAAACTCCAAAAATAGCCGTTTTTACGAAAAACGTTTTTTCGTCAATAACTTTTGACTCATAAGCGCCATGACATTACTTTTGCCAGCATCGTGTTCCTCTCGTCGAGACGCGTCGAATGAACTATTCGTTGACCTTGAAAGGTCATTTTGAAAATTTGACCTCAGGTCAAGGTCATGACCTGACCGAAAAGGGTCATGTTGCATATCAGTCGATCCGTATCGTCGAGCTGAACACATCTGACGTGTTTTCACCGCTCTAGCACGTCTCTATCAAAAGTTATAGCCAAAAAACTGCTGGCGACCGTTCATGACCTGAGATGACCTCAGGGGCACACAGGGGGGTCACAGGTGCATTTTTCCTATTCAGTGTGTCATGTTTACCTATGAACCGATGTTTGAGAGCGTTTTGAACGATATTCGTCCAAAAGAGGCGCATTTCAATTTTCTCCCATTGACTTATAATGGAGAGGTCGCAAAATTGACCTGACCTTAGGTCACAGATATCAAAAATCCGAGATATACATTTTATACATACTGTTACTCATATCAATCGCTGAAAGTTTCAAAGTGATCGTTCAGTCGGTGTAGCTATAGCGAGCCTTTGAACTTTTTCTGAGGTAAGGTCACTTGACGTGACCTGGTGACCTGACCTTGAACGGCCTAGGTCTGAAATTTTCACAACATGTGCGGAAATGATGTAGGAACACGTGTACCAAAAACGGCGGCGCTGCGCGCCGCCGTTTTTGAGATATTCGCGAAAAACCTGAGGGGGGGGGGGCGTAAAAACGCCCCCCCCAGCACGGCGCGGGTTAACCTTCGCCCCAGTGGGGGGGGGGGGCTATGTTACCACCCTGTAGCGTTTTTTGCGTGTGAATAAAAAACCGCGGCGCGTAGCGCCGCGTCGCTTGGGGTAGCTTTTGGTACATCAATTTTGGACAATGTGTGAAATTTTTGACCCCAGGTCATGTCAGGTCAGGTCACCAAGTCAAGTTAACTGACCAAGCCTAAAAAAAGTTTGCAATCATGTCCAGCCTGCAGTGTTCGTCAGAAAGGTTTCAAACTTGGTGGATTGCATGCTGTTATGGGCGCCTACAATTTGTATATCTCGGATTTTTTTATATCCGTGACCTAAGGTCAGGTCAGTGGCGAAACCTTTCCATTACAAGTCAATGGAGAAAAATGAAAATGCCTCTAGATCCGTGTGTACGCATCGGAACAGTCCAAATATTTCAGAATCACAATGATTTAGTCCACTCGTGATGACCAAGGTGTCATTTTTGCTGATAGCCTCTAGACAGGTCATCCGAGGTCACTTGAGGCTACAAACAGTTTTTTGCCAATAACTCGCGATTGGAAAGAGATAAAACGCATGGGATGGTCTCATTGTGTTTGTCTTGTTGAGACGCATCGACTGATATGCAACATGACCTTTTCCGGTAAGGTCATGACCTTGACCTGAGGTCAAATTTTCAACTTGACCTTTCAAAGTCAAATTATAGTTCATTCGACGCGTCTCGGCGAGAGGAACACGATTCTGGCAATAGAAATGTCGTGGCTTTTTGTATTCGAAAGTTATTGTCGAAAAACACTTTTCGTAAAAACAGCTATTTTTGGACTTTTTGCCCTCTGGAGGCCAAACCGTTGACCTGAGGTCAATATTGATTATGACCTTTTCAAAAGAAGAGTTCAAAAGCTATCGATTGCTTTTCCCTGCGTTATTCTAGCTACCATAGTTCCTGAGATAGCGGCATGTTTTCTGAAAAATATAATGACAATTGGCGAATTTTGACCTTTGATGACCTCTGGTGACCCCAATATTGCTCTAAGGTGAAAAATGACCGAATACTTTCAAACGTACGCATTGAGAGCTATCGACTGCTTTTTACCGCGTCTTTCTAGCCCTCTTAGTTTTTGAGTTAGAGGTGGGTGGTAACATATGCCCCCCCTCACTAGGGCGAAGTTGGCTGAGACCGCCACTGGGGCGCGGGTTAATCGTTCGTGTGCTGCCGTTTCAGACCGTCGGACGGTGCCGGCTGCGACTCTGAGGAGGCGTCCGACTTCTGCCCCGACGTTGACCTGACCCAGGCCCTGCTGACCGCTGACGGTTACCAGAATCTCTTCACACACGTGTCAGCAGACAACGTCAAGGCAAGTGTCGAGCCGGAGATCTAACAGAAGCTCTCTCCGAACTAGAACAGGTGCACACTCCTACCGAGGACGATACAAGCCAGAGAGAAACTTAAATTGACATTTCTCCATTCGTTATGTTGTAACGTTCATTTTACGTGCGCAGTAAGCATGCGATAGTCAGTATCAGGTCATTAGTCCCATTTCCTGGTGCTTTCTACTCACGTACTCGTCTTTGAGTAAGGAATATGGATAGCTGTGTCTGGCTACGATTGTATCTGGCGTTCGAATAGTATGAAACTGTGGGTGTCACGCGTTTCTCCGCCCGCAGGAGCGCGCCGAAGCCCTGGTGGCTGCTGCTGGAAGAGTCGCTTCCCTCTCCGCCCACAACGTGGCGCTAGTGATGGTGGACGCAGACTTCCATCCGGCCAACGTATCTGCATGGCGCGAGCGGCACCGCAGTCTTGCCCAGCTGACGAACTGCATCAGCGAGCACGGCGACTCTCTGTCGGCCAGCGCCGAGCTGGCCACTGCTGCCCGCTACTTCGCCGCGGTGAGGGAGCGGCTGACGTACGCCGCGCCGCTGCCCCGACTGGTCGGAGAACTGCACGGCGCAGCGCCGCCGGCAGAGACGCGCTGGCACCGCGTCACCCGCCGGCTGGAGACTCGTCTGCGCGACACGGAGCTGCTGCTGGTCTGGGCGCTGGGCGTGCACCAGCGCGCTCCGCCGCCCTCGGCAGCCGACCGGCCGCTGGCGCAGGCAGCCAGGAAACTGGCCAACTGTCGACGCACAGTGGCGCTCCTGTCTCGCCGCGGTACCGCCGCCGCGGGCGTGCCGGCGTCGTTGGCCAAGGAGCTGTCGGCCACCAGTAAGACGCTGGCACGCGTCAGCCACCTGCTACTGTCGGTGCTGCTGCTCGACCTGGGCCGGTTCGCCAGCGCGGCGGATGCGGCACGGCACTACGTCAGCCTGGACAACGGTCTGAGCGCCGTGCCGCGGCTGCTGACCGTCACCGTTCAGCCGGGCGACGCGCACCACCTGATCGTATACAACGCCCTGCCGTTCCAGCGCTCCGAGCTGGTGCAGTTCGTCACGCCTACACCCAATATCGCTGTCGAGGGTCCGGACGGTGCCAATGTGCCGCTCGAGATATCCCCCGTTGGCCGGGACGCCTTCACCGTCAAGTTCGTGGCGGAGCAGTTGTCGCCTGTTTCGATGACGACGTACCGCGTCAGCAGTGTCGACCTCGACTCGGCCGCCGACCCGGCGCTAATGTTCGGTCAAAACGAGTCCGACATCAGCGAGGGCCTAACCATCAGCAACGAGCGGTTCGAGCTGCGTCTGGTCGAGTCGCCGCACGGCTGGCGGCTGACGGACCGGCGCACCGGGGACGAACTGGAGCTGGAGCTGCGTCTGGTGGCGCTGCGGCCGGGCGGGACTGAACTGCTGGCCTGTTCCGACCAGGGCTGGAGCCAGCGTGCCGACTCCGTCACCGCTGAGGCGACGCTGCGCTGCGGCAGGGCGCAGCTCACGGTGCGACTGACGCGCGCTACCGGCCCGCTCGGCCAGGCGGTCAGTCTACTGGTGGAGTCTGAGCCGGAGGTGGGCGGTGGCATCAGCGGCGCGCTGAGCTGGACGAGCGGCGAGGAGCCGGACGCCGACCCGGCGCCGCTGCTGCTGCACCTGCGCACGCCACTACGGTCGGAGGGCGGCGGCGGCAGCGGCTTCTACGCGGACAGCGGCGACTACCAGCTGGCGCGCCGGGCGGCGGCCGCCCTGCCGAGCGGGCTGCGGCCGGCCGCCGCGCAGGCCTGTCTGCAGGACGGCCGGCGGCGGCTCTGCGTGCTGCTGGAGCAGACGCGCGCAGTGGCCAGTCCGTCCGAGGGCGAGCTGGCCGTGCTGCTCGGCTCCGCCGCCGAGGCTGTGTACGCTGAGCTGCTGCTGACTGCTGAGCAGCTGCCCGAGCCGCCGGCCGCTGACCGGCAGCTGTTCGCCAGCAGCCCGCTGGTGGCGCTGCTGTCCCAGCAGCTGGCCAGTCCGGCGCCGCTGCTGTTCGGCAGCAGTCCCAGCGCGGTGCGACTGCGCGCCACGCCGCGCCTGCTCGACGGCCCGCTGCCGTGTGACCACGAGCTGGTGTCGCTGCGGCAGCTGACTGCCGGCGCCGACGGCCGGCCGGCAGCGCGCGCACTGCTCACGCTGCGCCGGCGCCGGCTCGACTGCCGGCTCTGGGACGCGCGCGACGAGCTCGGCTGCGGCCTGCAGCCGCCGCTGCCGCGGCTATCACCGCTGCTCGGAGCCGAGTGGCTGAGCGCCGCCAGTCTGACCGGCGCCGAGGGGCCGACCGCGCCGCCGGCACTGAGCGGTCTGCAGCAGGTGCGGCTCGATGCCGACCAGGTTCGGTCGTTTATGGTCGCCCTGGACCGACAGCTGCCGGTACCGAAACCAACTGTGAAAGAAACTCAGCAGAAGGCGAAACAGAAAACCCCGCCGCCGCGGAGAGAACATGTCTACAGCGAGGGGGACGTACAATTCGAGGTTGGGCAGTCGTATCAGCTTCAGTTGTGAAACGTCCGGACGGTGAACTGTTGTAAGGCTTGTGCTGTGGATGTTGATTGGGTCAGTTGTGTGTGATCATAGTAAAATGGCTAGATGCGATGATATAATGCGTGGTATCCTTTCCATGACAATTTGTGACACATCCTCCACTCCCCATCATTCAAGCTCCTAGCATAACGACGATTCGATAGAATATCTTGATGGCTTCATACACGAACCAAGCGTAAAAGGTAGCTCATCGCATTTGGAGTGCTTCGACCAGGGTGTTGGCTGTTATGACGTGGATAGTCCAAGGATGTGAATGGCTTATACATAGTGCAATGAGATTCAGTACATGACTGCTGTTATCAGCGTATGAGGCGTTACACTATGTGCCGTTGCCGACAGTTTTATTTTTGTTCTTGTTTTAAGGATATTTGTTGGAGTGTTCACTGTTGTACATAGGGTACTCGTCGCCTCCTGCCTTGTTATGAATTGTTGCGAGTTATGTGACGATGCACTTGGGACTGGCTATAGCTTTAGCCTGCCAGAGTTTATCTGAGGCTGTATGTGTATATTAATCCTACGTTACATTCTACTTATTCCTCAACAAGCTTCTGTGAGCTCCTTGTTATTTGTCTCCGCATCGTTTTTGAGACTCCGAGTGACCGGTCTTCTCGACTGGGTGTAAGTGGTCGTTGTACTGTTACAGGAATGCGTTCCTCCGCTCAGAGGAGCCTAGCTCCGTCCGCCGGATCCTGGTGGGGGAGCTTCCAGTCGATCTTAGGATGCACGCGCAGGGTCAGATGCGTCGTATCCGCTGGGGGAAAGAGCGCAGGCTGAATGATGCCTGTAAATATATGTGAATAAATGAAGGTGATTGTATCTGATCATAGTCCTTTCGATCGCATCAACTGCTGATCGCATCAATTGCTGATGAGAGCGGTATTCGCCATGGACTGATCCGAGCGACTAGCACGTGCGCCATTAACACGTCTGGGATCAACCGACAGACAAGCCAGAATTAGGCAATGCATCATCTATGCACGACAAAATGATAGCCAGTCATCGGGCTTTCTTCTGTAGCAGACTAATCACCACCGGCGACGCGATAAGTCCTCCATCAAAGACCGGTTTTCTAATGCAGTGACTTTATTTCTATCCGATTGGCCCGCCATGGGTCATCAACTACCGTTACGTAGCGCACAAGACAAACCTCTGTAAACGGTAACACTCCGCGACCTCGCCGCGCCGCCGCCCGTCTGCCTGCGTCACTACTCGCCGCTAACTGCCTCCACGCGCCGCTACTCGTCCCCGCTGCGCCGCCAATCGTATCTGCCGCGCCGATCCGAAGCTGCGGCTCCACCGAAATACCCAGAATGGCTCTCCGGCTGGCCGGGGAGAGATAGGCAGACTGGGCACGGAGTGCGGAAACCAGCAGCGAACCGCGGCAGCGTCCCACGAACACACAGGTCCGCGTTATTGCGACAAACGGGTGCCTACCGGGCGTATAAAGCCGAAGGGACGCTGCAGGACCGCAGGCGCGATTATGCTACAGCTGGCTCGTACGGGAAATGCTGATACCGAAATGTCCGGATATCGAACGGACTGTAGGAGATGCAGCCGGTCGTTAGGATGAGGCATACGAGGCAAAATGGAAAAATTGGGACAAGCGCAGCAGAGATTGGACTAGACAATTCGCAATAAGGGGGGCAAGCGGGATAGATGAAATACATACATCGATGCTGGCAAAGGTAGAACAGGGCGGAAAACGTCGTACACGACGCGCCTATTTGGTAGAGGTAAAGCCAAGCACACCTATGACTTTCAGCGAGAGATGGCTGCGACAGCTGGACTGAAGCGAGCGACTAGACGGTCAGATAACCATATAGAGCCGAGGTCAGAGGCCGCGGAATGATCGGGCGACGCGCAGAGGCCGGCAACATGGCGACGGGGAATGTCCTGTACCTTACGATCAGTCGTGCCGAGCAAATACACAATAAATAAAATCATAGGTACAGTCAACGAAATATAGCTCCAACACATAACAATACTATTTTACGGTTCTTGTGTGACGACGGCAAGCCGTATAAACAAAACGCCACAAGAACAGATAATCACCTCCCAAAGAATAGCATTGATCGACATAAAACAGCAGCAGAATCCACCACCACCACACCATATTATCACATAAACTAAAGCTGTCTCGAAATAACATTCGCCAATTGACAGCCACGACAGTGAGTGCTACAAAATCATAGGAAATTATTCCACCGGAATTAATGAACTAGGAATGACCGCCTAAGGAATCAATACAGCTTCCGTACTAAGATGTGCATACGGATAGCAAATGTGGCTGCAGTTTACAATAACAAGCACCGCAATTAACGGACACTACTCGAGATTCCCGATATAGATAACCTAGATATTTGGATAAGCACTTAGTACACACATAGACGATATCTAAGTTAATCTGGATAGTGACGCGATCCGGGCCGGGACTTTTCGGAGAACTGCGAGTGCGCTCTAGCCTAGCCGACATCCAGCCCTTACCGGACGTTAGGAGGGTTGTTTGATATAATACGGTGACGAGCTGGTCGTACCAGGAATGACACCTCTCGGTCACCGACGCATTGTCCGCCGGCGTCGCCAGCCCGCGACTACCAGCGTGAATGATCCCTCAATGTCCGAACTCAATGTACCGAAGAGTGCGAACACTCTTCGGTAAATTTCGCAGCGAGGCGGCACTGCCACCGCAGTCGTTCTAAAGGGACTCAAGCGGACGCTGGTACGTAACGCCTTCAGACTGTGACCCCATCGAACCCCCGGGATATGACGCGCGAAACGGGCCAGATAGACGCAACCTGCCCACCAGAGTCACTACCTCAGGCCCTAGCCGCACCCGCGAGGCCTAACGAGCAGAGACCTAACGAGCAGAGGCCTAACGAGCAGAGGCCTAATGATACCTTGGCTGAAGGGCCGAAGTTGCTGCTAGGCGCTGACGCTTCCCTGACTAGTAATACCACTACCAGCGCTCTGCGGCAAGACTTATCAACCTCAACAAGCGACGGAAGGACGTGACAAAGTACGATGATAAACAAAAACCGGTGCTGAAATATCACCCAACTGAATGAATCACGCAAACGCCAAACTCTACCCGGTCGTCCTTCAACCCCAACTCAGCCTCACGAAGCAGCTATGCTCCCAACTCTAGAGGTCTACTCACAACGGTATGTGCCGTTAGGGGCCGATCACACTGCAAACTCAGGGTGGACAAGCACTAGCGGCGAGTTCGGACGCGCTACCGCCGGCGCCCGCAGAGCCCCCATCTTCCCCGTCTACAGCGGAGTCCTCACATCCCACCCCGCCCGAGACGCCGCAGTCGGGCGCCGCCGCCTCCCAGTGCCCTCCTCACCGGTCGGCGGGGGCGGTGGAGGCGGTTTCTGGTGGCTCGAGGCGTACCTACGCCGGCCCGCCGCCCAGCTTGGAGAGGTTCTTGAGGAACTGGCCGGGCGTGATGAGCTGGTCGCTGCCGATCACCACTTCCCAGTTCTTCAGGGCGTTGGTTACCTGACGACGGGGTACCATATCTCAAACTCTGTTCGCATATATAGCGTGTGATATGTCTCACATCAGCCAGAAGCTGCCACAGTAAACATACGAAGTGGAAACTAGTAACCACCCTAAAACTCAAGAAAGCGAGCAACGAATGGCACCACAAACTACGTTCGTGTCCCACAAACTTCGCATGTTTCATGGGAGGGTGAGCGTCCTTCCCGCATCATGAAAAACTACGCCATATATTAGAATGTTATCCAGTTCAGTGTTGTCAGCTTCTTGAGAAAGTTCACACGCCTCGAGTCAAACGCTATCAGCGGTGCGTTTTTTTTTGTGTGGTAACCGACTCTGGCATATAAATGAGCTGTCCACATTTAACGAGTATTAAGGTAGTTACGTCCCGCCCAACGTTCAAATACCGTTTAAACGTCAGAGCTGTGAGGCTCAGGGTCATATCATGAGCGCTGAGGTTTAACACACTCCCTGTGGGCTGGGAAGTGCCTGAGCGCCGGGCACCACCTGATGAATTAATAGTAGGTAGCTCTGGGGCCGTATTCACGTCGATCATTTTCATAAGAATTTTCTTACGTATGGCCTACTTCTTAATAATTTTTCTTTTTATTGTAATCAAGTGAACTCGTCGATAAAAACTAAACAAGTGTCGACGTGAATACCAAATTATACTTCCGAAACAAAATCGACTTGCGAAGTCGACGTGAATACGGCCTCTGGAATCCTTCCAAATTCGCATCATGGTGCTAGTCATCATGGTGCTAGTACTGACCTCATAGGCGCTGCGGATCTCGCTGTAGGACAGGCCGCCCAGAACGTAGACGATGAGACGGGGGACGTTCTTGACGTTCTGCGCGCCCTTGTCCTTGTGCCAGTGGCCGTAGCGGGCCGTGGTGGGCGTGGCGCGCGGGTAGCCGGCCGTGGCCGCACGACCGGCCAGGAACGGGAAGTGCTTCTCGTCCAGTTTCAGGTCGATGGCGTCCTCCATGATGTCTTTGATGACGGGCGTCCAGCGCGACATCTGGTAGGTGTGCTCGGTGATCCGCTCCTTGCGCGCCATCTGTTGGCGGGTGTGATGGTTAGTGTTGCACGGACCGGCCGCGGCTGGCAGCGGAGACAGTGCCGGCCGGTGGCCGGCGTCGACTTTACCGGAGCCCTTCCAACGGTAGATGTAGAAGCTGGGGACAATTCACTGTGTTTTCGGACATTTATATGATATGGTCGGAAACTTACAGCACGCAAAATTCATGCCCAGGAAAATGTCACATCTTATAACAATTACAAATAACAAAGAACAATTATTACAAATTTAGTAGGTAAGGGCTTAGGCCTTAGGCCATACGATTTTGAGAGAAACGATGAACATGAACATGAACTGAGACAAAACTCAACAGTCGCAATGGGCTGGCTATTAAGTAGATGCCTAAAAAGAAAACAATGCCAAAAAATCCACACCAGCTAATACGGCACACATAAAAAATCAATTTCCTGAAATATGAACAGCCGCATAAACTCAGTGGCAATCAGAGGTATGTCAGTTTTCGTTTAACCCGCGCCCGGCTGGGGGTCCTGGATTTCCACGCCCTGCTGGGGGGGGGGGGTGTTTGAACACCCCCCCCCCTTGTAACTCGGCTCCTGGGCCACGTAGCGATACGCGGAAGGCGGCGTTCGAAAGAGCGTCAAAAATAATGACGAAATCACTTCGGTCAATTTTTTGGTCAGGTCAAAGGTCAGGTCACCAGAGGTCATTGAAGGCAAAATTTCGCCGATTTCCAGGTCGAATGTCGACAATTTCCAAGAAGCCAACGCATAACTCGGGAACCAATAGAGCTACAGCGCCACGGAAAAGCGCATTCGATAGCCCTATTAACGCCCTTTCTGAATAATTCTCTCAGATTTGACCTAACGTCAACGGTTTTGCCTGCAGGGGGCAAAAACTGCAAAAATAGCCGATTTTTTCGGAAACAGTTTTTCTGCAATAACTTTTGACCCAAGCCTTGTACGTGCTTACTTTTACCGGCATCGTGTTCCTCTCGTCAAGACGCATCGAATGAACTATAATTTGACCTTGAAAGGTCAACTTGAAAATTTGACCTCAGGTCAAGGTCATGACCTGACCGGAAAGGGTCATGTTGCATATCAGTCGATCCGTATCGTCGAGCTGACCACATCTAAGGCGTTTTCATCGCTCCAGCATGCCTCTATCAAAAGTTATTTGCGAAAAACTGTTAGATACCATTCGTGACCTAAGATGACCTCAGGGCATAAACAAGGGTCACGGACACCATTTTCATGTTCAGTATGTTTAAACCACTTGTAATTCGGTGTTTGGGAGTGTTTATAATGTCTTTCATCCAAAAGAGGCGCATTTCAATTTTCTCCCATTGACTTATAATGGGGAGGTCGCAAAATTGACCTGACCTTAGGTCATCGATATCAAAATTCTGAGATATACATTTTGTACATGCTATTGCTCTTAGCAATCGCTGAAAGTTTCAAAACGATCGGTCACTCGGTGTAGCTATGACAGACATTGCAACTTTTTATGAGGTGAGGTCACTTCCAGTGACCTGGTGACCTGACCTTGAATGACCTTGGTCTGAAATTTTCGCAACATGTGTAGAATTGATGTATGATAAGGTGTACCAAAAACGGCGGCGCTCCGCGCCGCCGTTTTTGAGATATTCGCGAAAAACCACAAGGGGGGTGTTCAAACACCCCCCAGCAGGGCGCGGGTTAACTGCCGAAACTGTGGGGGTCGATACCTGTAAATCATGTCGAGCACAAAACAATATAATAGAACAGAATATAACAAAAATATCGAAAAAGTACAAAGTAACTTGGTCAAAAACGAAAATCACTCATGGAAACGGAAAACAAACAAGGCCTGACCAATGACCATGTAACGACAACGCATTTTCAAACCCAAGTCTTACGACTTGAAACAACAACCAGCCAAATGACGACACATGTCCAAGAAACAATAAAGTTGTCTCGTATGTACAATTGACTAAAAAAAAAAAAAACTCAGTGTCTTCGGAAGTCACCACGAATACACCTGTGATGCCTTCAACAAACAAAAATCCTGGAAGAAACCCAGCCAGCAACATCCGGGACCGGACGAGATCTCCCACATCCAACCACGTCATGCCACGAGTGGTCCATCAATGCTCGCCCGGTCGTGCAGAATCAGTCCACAGGTCCACCCAGCTCTCCACCACCTTCTACAGCTCTCCACGTCCACTCCTCATAGCTTCCACACCGAGAACCGCCCTGACCACACCACCAAGACTCGCCACACAATGTTTCCAATCCAACTACCAATCTACCAAACCCCAGAGGGGACCAACATCACCCCAGCAAGAAACTCCGTCCGTCCCATCGGTCCAAAAAAAAAACTCCACCTACTCCCGGTGAAGTGGACACCCCGGTGGCGGCCGCTGCAGTCCAGGACAGAGAGCGGCGCAGGGGGGCCAGCGCGGCGGCCGCCCTCCGCAGAGGCTCCGAGTCCACCGAGGAGCCCGTCACGGTCTCAGCCTTAGACTCGCCATACTGTCAGCGCGGCGACTGAGGTGAACGCCGGGGTCGGGGATGGTGCTGCTAGGGTGAAGTTTAGTTTGGTCATAATAAGAGCGGAGTCGGGGCGGTACCGTATGGTGTGGAGATGTAATGGCAAACCATCAAGCAGATGACTGGTACCCATATGCTTAGCGTGTTAATCAGACGGTGCCGCGGCAGGCCTCTATAAGGTGGGAAGCCATAGGGCAGTATGCGGAGGCAGCCGTTTTCGCTATGATCCTGCAATAATAAATGCTCCGGCCTTCCTGCTCTGTTATAAGTAGGTACGAACATTTCAAAAGCGACGCACGTTTAGTATCCTACGGTGGACAGTATCGTGATCCATTTCGTGTTTCAGCTTCTAATGGGTGGCACCATAACCACGATTTTAGCACTTACCGTGTGGATTTTCTTCCTGTTTCCGTCGACCACCACGTTGAGGCCGAGATTGGCCAGGTTGGTGATGATACTGCGGTCCTCGGCAGGGATCTGCGCGTGCTGAATCAGCTTGTTGAGGTTCTCCTCGCTGATGCCGTTCTTCACCAGGATGTAGAGCAGGATGATCCTGATCTTGTCGTACGTGGTGACGTTCTGGTCCAGCAGGATGGGCACGATGTTGCGCATGTGGTCGCGGATCTTCTCGCCCTCGGCGTCAGTACCCATGGCCAGATCCTGCTCCACCTGTGGGCGGAGACGACACGCGGACTCCTATAGTGACACGAACTACACATGCTGCCAGTGTATATACAGTGGCAGATGTGACCGGTGAAACCAAAATACACACAAAACTAGTAATGAAAGTTAACCCGGCAGTTGCTGGGGTATTTCGCCACCCACCGTTTGCTGGGGGGGGGGGGGGCGTTAAACGCCCCCAGCCGATAACTTGAGAACCAATAGACGCAGCGAAACGCACGAGGCGGCAAACGAAAGAACGCGACGAGACGCTTCAGATGAGTACTTTAAATTTGAATTTTGAGGTCACAGGTCGGGTCAAGGTCAGGTCAAACACCTGAAATCCGGCTTTCAGTAGCATGGACTTCAGGACTTCGCAATGGGTGCCTCTCGTCATAAGCTCTGTCAAAACGGTGCACAATCCATCATATCAGGCCTACAAGAGTGTCAGCTCCATGTAGGGGTCAGTCAAGCATAGGTCAGGGTCAAGGTCAGGTCAACCGGGTAGGCACATATCCCCGAAAATCAAAACTGATATTCGCAGCCTGTGACACTTGTTTTGTGGGTAATTTGGGGCGTAGAACACGATGGTGACATTTATTTTACCATAATTCATAGGTGTACGTGTTTGGCTAAAAAAGTTCAATTTAAGAAATGCATGTATCATGGTCGTGTAGTCACTAGAAATTGCCAAGATTCAGTTCAAGATTTTGGAAAATGCGGAACGATAATCAATAATCGAAGATAGCCATTTGATTGTTCATGGTATAGGCAGTCTAATGACGTTCACGGCATGTCTGTATGTCTATTCTGTGATTTTATATGATTTTTTGAACATATGCCGTTTTTGGTCGAAAACTCAGAAATCATGACGTCACTAAAACCTCGATATCTCAAAAATTTTCCGACCGATTTTTTTGAAACTTTGTCACAATAAACTTCAATCGATTCCCTACACGTAACTAAAATTTGGCGCGCCGCCGTTTTTATGCTATGGCCCGGCGAAAAAAAGTGGGGGCGTTTAACGCCCCCCCCCCCCCCCAGCAACTCGCGGGTTAACTAGTAAGACGCTACAAGAGTCACCGCAGCTTTTGTAAATTAGCATCACCGACCAGTTGAATTAACATAAGGCCGACTCCAGCATACACAATACACATTCATATTGTTTGATTACACTGGTCTGCGTGATTTATAAGGTCAATGGTTTCTCAGCTGTTTATAGGACAGTTTTTCACGCTGATTCCGGAAATGGAATTCGTTTTGCTCGATTAGCTCGATTTTTTAAGATACGTCGTTTTGCTCATATGTTCAAAGCTATGCTGAATGGCTTAGTATAGTTAATCACACAGAAGCATATATATGTTTAAACTGCAAACTGACCCGCTATAAGTGAATTCCGATTACAGTACACACGCACTGCTGTGACGCAAATGGCCTTTTCACGGATTTTCGACTGTGTTGAGCACATGGGACGTCCCTCTTCAAGCACCAGCAATAGTCCGCCAGGAAGTTGACGTCCCACCGACCCTTATACCGTTTTTCCATCACACTTTGTGGCCACACAGTCTTTGTGGAAGCATTCTACCTGCTCTTCACTACAGTCACCAGTTTTCTGGTAAATAATCGAGATGGGACCTAAAAAATTGCAAAATGTATCAGCATGCCCACTCCAATGTGCATATTAATGCATCGGTGTGTATCCTTGACATAGTGTGGGAGCTCGAGCTAATCGAGAAAAATGGATACCTACCTTTTCCGAATTCGGCACACAAAACTTGCATCAGAACAGTTGGGAAATCTTCCATCTTTGGGGAAAATGCATCAGTATGCCCACTCCAAGATTTAATATATCAGTGTGTGAGCTGTTATCCGTGACATAGTGTGAAAACGGGAGCTAATCGAGAAAAATGGATAGCTTTGTTGGATTCAGCACACGAAACTTGCATTATAGAACAGCTGAGAAATCTCCAACTTTGGGGAACAATGTATTAGTATGCCCACTCCAAGATGCATATTAATATATCGGTGTGTGAACTTTTATCATTGATATAGTGTGAAAACTCGAGCTAATCGAGACAAATGGATAGCTTTTTTGAATTCAGCACACGAAACTTGTATTAGAACAGATGAGAAATATCCAACCTTGGGAAAAATATATCAGCATGCCCACTCCAATGTGCCTATAAATGCATCAGTGTGTGAACTTTTATCCTTGACATAGTTCGAAAACTCGAGCTAATCGAGAAAAATGGACAGCTTTTTCGGATTCAGCACACGAAACTTGTATAAAAATAGCTGAGAAACCTCCGACCTTTTGAAAAAAGTTTTGAAACGCAGGCCAGTGTTATAGATGTTTGCATTCCACATCACGGGGCAAGGTGAAAATGAGGCTCGCCATATCCGACGTCTACTCTATACCCTTCCCGCATTTCCCTACTACCCCACCACGTTACCTTGCAGAGTTTGTCGACGTATCCCTGGTAGGAGGCCATGCACTCTCCGGCCAGGTGCAGGTGGGTCGAGTACTTGCTCAGCTCTTTCTGGTACTGGGGCATCTTCTTGATCATCTGACTGAGGTCGCGCATCGACGCCTTGTCCGTCGACATGCCGCGCTTGTTCTCAATGAACTTCTTCATGTTCTTGGTCACCTGTCAGATAGACAAGTGAGTTAATTTCAACGAAAACGAGATTGGGTAGATGATTTAGCTTTCTGGCCAGCGAAACACTCAATCCAGATTCGAAATCGCCAGTGCGAAAAGCTTTATTCTTTGCTTTCGTCCATTCATTTACCGACCCAATTCATTAAATCATCCGATTCATTTTTTCATTTTCGATTCATTTATTCATTCATTCAACTACCGATCTTCCCGAAATACCTCACCACGTTACTTCCAAACTCAACCCACTTCACATACCCCGTCGTCCTCCCTACCCCTTCCTTTCCCGCTCCCTCGACTGCCCCGCACTGCCAGTCGCACCCACCTGCTGCGATACGATGGCGATGTGCTGGTGTCGCAGCTCCACCCACAGGTCGTCATTGTCGTCCAGCAGCACCTCCTTGGGACTCTCGCCCTGGCTGGCCTCGTACTTGTAGACGTCGTTCTCGATGGGCAGCAGGTCAAAGGCCATGGCCTGCAGGGTGAGCTCGTGCAGCAGCGGCGACACGGCGTCGAAGCCGCGGTCCAGGATCAGCAGCTGGGAGCGCGCCTGCAGGAGAGCGGGGTAAGTCAGCGCTGACAGCTAAAGAAGGGCCCAAACGCAGCTGGCGCTGTAATGTGCGGCTCGCAGCGGCGCAGCGTGAGCAGCGGTGCTTACAGTGACCTCGTTAAAGCTCCCAGCGAACCTCATTGCACGCCGAAACTTGAGCGTCCGTCTACTCATGCATCGCAAATGAGCAGCACGTGATTGACATGCTGCCAGCTGCACTATTCACATACTCCGCTCAATGTAAAACAATACATCTCGCCCTCGTTGCCGCCCGGCCGGCCGTTTAAACGAATTCTCCCGTTCTCGTAACCAGCTTCTCTCTGAATGACTGAATGTATTTCGGTCGCTACCCGGGTTCCTGCACGGACGGCGGCAGATCTGGCGTTAGGAGTCGGTCGTCAAGCAAGGCCAGGCATGTCACCTTCTCCAGTGGGGCTCTGTCAGAGACAGGCTACCTCTGAGGTGCCCAGGGAGGGGAGCGGACCACAGCGGACTACTGTCCCAGTGCCCGGCAACACAGTGCCGACCGCTCACAGATTAATCATACGCCATGGTGTGTGCATAATTAAAGTCGGGCTTCGGGACGCGAGGATCCTGGCTCGGTCGGTCGTCCAAGAGGTGTTAGAATACAGTCAGTCTGGTGAGAGTCAAACTGAAGTTGCTGTGTAAAAGAGGCAGCTGGACGGAGAGAAAACAGTGAAGTGACGAGGAGGACAGACGAGCGGGAAGAGAGGCGTGAAAATCACTTCAGCAAGACAGTTCAGACGGACGGGACGAGACGGAGGAGAGCGACAGAAAAACAGGTGAGAACTAGAGCGGGAGAGTGAAGTTTATCTGCCCCACGTATCAGACAGCTTAGGTGAAATTTCAACAATGCCAGGAGTGGATTCAAAAACATTTATCAGGTCTTGACGACGCAAATAAACAAATAACTTGATTTCATAGCAAAAAATAACTTGATAATAACTTGTTGAATAACTTGATTTACAACAACATGACATTCGCATTATTTTTATTTTTTCTTTGCTGTCGGAAATACAGAAGCTCATTAGTGAAAAAGGAACGTCAAATCACCGAAGTTCAATATCGGTAGGGCTCCGTCTCTAGCCGACATTATGTCGGCTTCAAAAAGTGACAATCGAGGAAATCTCTCGACAGCTTCAAATGACTCATCAATCATCACAAACATGTGATATAACTAATGGTTAGTAGTTAGCCATCAGCACAAAATACGCACTGTTGAAACATCTATAGCTTGGAGGTGCCTCAATAGTTCTTTGCGGGAGAAGATGGACCCAAATACCCCACAAAGTATCCAGCGTGACCATCCGTGTAATGGCAGGGCGGCAAACGGGACCAGGTACGACTGCTCGCCGGTCACCGAAGTAGGGCGGAGGTAGAACGGCGCACGGTCAAAAGGTCACGAAGGCAGGACGCCGCCTCTTCCGAAACGTATGTGGCGTGTCGGAAGGTCAGACGGCCGCCGGGAAACGAACTGGAGCGGGGAACAAAGCGTCTGGGGTGTGGCGGGCACGACGGAGAAGGGCTAACAGACAGTCCGCAGCGTCGTGGGTACGACGGCGGCGGGCTTTGTGGGGCGTCTGGGTACGTCTGTAAGGCGACAGGTCGGAAAATATCGATTGGAAAGGAAACCGTCGCATATTAACAATAAGCGAGCTGGCATGCTATGAATGGCTTACTAACATGGCAACCGTAAGATAACCATTTGGATTCAAAGCCTAAGTGTCATGAAAGAAAAGTGCTACACATATTCCTAATGTCGTTCCGGACCCGACCAACTCAAGCTGCATCTCCGGCGGTTTCCCCATAAATTTACGGTCCCCCATCGTCATATTTCACCCTCCCCGCGCCGTCCACCGCTCCCACAGTACGCGAGTACATCCCCCACTGGCCCGGTGCCAGTACCGCCGGAGGGAAGCCCTCCACGCCCTCCATCGACCCTCACCTTCTCCGGAGACTCTCCCATGGTCGGCTCGTCGGCCTTGTAGGCGTCCAGCTTCTGCTGCACCATCTGCGCCAGCTCGACGTTGTAGTCAAAGTCGCTGCGGTAGCGCACGTTCGGGTACTCGCCCAGCACAGCGCAGAGGGTGGCCAGCTGCTGCGCCATCCGCTCCATGGTCTGGGGCCGGCTCGGCGCGCGTGACGGCCCGTAAAACACCGGGAACGTCTCCTCACAGTCCAGAGAGAACACCTGCGACTCCTGCGGCAGGAACGCGATGTTGATCTCCTTCAGCGCCTTCACATACTTGGAGACGTTGGCATTCACCAGCATGTTGAAGCACTCGTCAGGACACGCCTCCGTGAAGAAGATGTGCGCAGCGCGGTACATGGTCCGCGTTGGGATGCCAAAGTCGTTGATAATGCCATTGATGGATTTCTCGGTGGGTTGTACCAGGTAGACGGCCTCCAGATGCTGCAGTGGCTCCCGCTTCTTGAAGATGTCCTCAACAATTGTGATGCCCTCCTGTGCCAGGTCGTGCATCTTGGTGCATGCTGAGATCATCCTCATGCTCAGCTCGTCAACCACCAGGACGCGCCAGTCGGGTGTCGAGCCTTTCTTTTGTGACTTGATGACAATGTCCATGATCTTCTGACCCACAATCGTTTTGAGAGACATGGTTGGACGATTGAGATAATGAATCTGCAAGGAAAACAATTACTTTTGTAAGCCTGTATCAGTGTTGGTCAATAAGCAATGACAAGCAAACAAAACCGCAAACCAAAGCATTGCTCAAATGTGCATGAAGTGACAGCCTAGACCCAGCAGGATACATGTTATCAATATAAAAAGTGTGACCATTTGTCCATTGATAAAAAATGCTGCATTATTAACTGATTATTGTACCTACACACACAGTCATCATGTGTACATCAATAAACCCCACCTAAACCTGAACCTCGAACTATGCTGATACTCATGCAGCAACTGATGGATAATTTGCAATAGTTCAGTATCAGTTGCAAAAGAGGTAAGATATATCACAGCGAAAGTAGGAACATGGTAGCTTACAACAAAACAAAAAATACGTCAAATTTCCAAATAAACTATAGCGAGAAAACACGATCACTAACTTCACTTACCGCTTACCAATGGCAGAAGCAAATGGCTTTCCTCCTTATGAACCACCCTTGAGTGAATTTAACAGCATTAGAAATAAAGGTACGACCAGTATAGTTCTCTATATACCGTGTGTACGACTTCAGATGACAGCCCTCAGCAGTCACCACGCCCCCGACTACTCAGAAAACAACGCTCCGCTTCGCCGTCACCGCTGAAGTCCGCAACAATCGATTGTTGGCATTGGGGCTTGAGGCGACATCTCGTGGTAGTGCTGCAGGTGGAGTTTTTGGTTTCACTGCTAGGTGGCGGGTGCTGTCCAAAATCGAGAGCACTTTCCAAAGCGACGTAAACAAGCGCGGCTCCGAACAAAAATCGGTCAGGAGGTCGGAGGCGCGTTTGATCTATCCGTTTCCGATTCGGGGGGAATGGGAGTGACTGGTAAGTGACCCGAAACTGTGTGTGCATTTCCCCTCATTAGTCGCTTCCTCGGATTCATTTGTTTTTCCATAGCGGGTTGGAATGCACGCCTGCCTACCTGGCTTAGCTACCTGTCTGTCGGCAATTATGGCGTCGATTGTGTTATCAGTTTTTTGAAATTAATTTTGACAACACCTGTTGCTGATTCCAAGAGTAATGTGAAAATTGGCTAACATTTGTGTGCTCTTTTGTTGCAGGCTTCTCCATGCTGGTACAGATCAAGATGAATCATCTCAGGGAAGGAAGCATTCCATTGAAGTGAGTCACTTCAGAAGAGTACCTGGATGTGGACGATGAACCACTAGTGCTGAGTTAGTGAGTGGTAGTGCTAGGGAAGCAAGTTTTATCAGTGATGAAGGTGACTGTCTGCTTTGGACCAGTCCGTGTGGTCGTTCCGTGTGGAGATGGAAATGGAACTGTCCGTGACCTCATGCTGCGAGCCACCACAAGATACAAAAAAGCTGCTGGATGGGTAAGTACCAAAGGACTGCTACATACATTTTACAGCTAAGATGCTTGTGATATTTCTAAAATAAAATATAAAGTGAAGTTTGATTGACCACACCTTCATATGAGGCACTTTGATTTTCCAACTGCTAGGTATTTCCAATGCTTGTTTCCTGTTTGTGCTCACTGAGGCTGGGCATGGGCCATCCTTATTTGAAAATAACCATGTGTGCTACCTGTATGATTTGAAAGTGATGGAAATTGAACTCAGTGAGTTGTTGCAAGTTTTTAATGTTGATGCATGCTGCCACTCCAGTTCCAGCTATGAGCTACATACTAGCTCACTCACTTAATTGATTACCTTGTTAGTCATTTTATTTTGTTTTTAACTGTAGTAATACTTTGGACATTCATTTCACCTATAAGTGTTTATAGTAATGCCAAAGATATATAGGTAATGGGTACTGGTGCTCATATGACTTGGACATCTCTGGCCACCAAACCTATCTGCATTTGAGCAAAGGCTTTAGATGATGATAACCTGATGCAATGACCTGAGGGAGCATTTGTTTATGCTACAGCCAAAGATTTGACCTTACTCAGACTGCTAACTGTAAAAATTGACCACTGGCCAGTGCCTAAATGTCATGAGTGATTATTCATAAGAGTGCAATTCTGGAGTCACAGCCTTGAGGTAGGTACTAAAATGGACTGAGAGGTGCCATTGAAAACTGCTAAACTGCTGAGCCTCTCAATCCTCTATTGCCATTCGTGTCCTAGGTCGGGGACTCGGCTTATCGGTGTACGTGTACGCGACCATTCCACACCACCAGCTCGGTGCAAAGATGGACATTGGACTTGAACATCCATTCGCAGTGTATCTTGGGCTGGACTGGTCTCTCCGCCGTATCAGCGGCCTCTGGGTAATGGTGCCGGTCATTCTTTCAACTGACGTGGCTGTATCTTTCAACTGATATTTGCATGGTTCGCTCGAGCGACACTCATTCCTGTCATTGTCCGATGTGACAGCACGCAGATTTCTGACGGTCCTACCTGACAGCTGTCCTGTCAGACTATTTGACAGCGGTGTCTGCTGGTCCAGTGCACCTACTGTCTGCACCGCAACGGCCGGCACAGGCCCGCCGGAAGTGAGCCATTTCCGGTGGGCGGGTGACGCCGGAAGTGCAGCCGGTCACCGTGATTGATATTTGGACCGCTCGGCAGCGGGACACAGGGGACAGGTAACCCGCTCGGCCGCCCGGTGTTGCACCGGCGGACTGACGGTTGTGCGTTCACCTGATGTGGTCTCGTGCAGCGGCGCCGGTGCGGCCGGCGCTGGGTGGGGAGGTTCCGGCCGCTGCCGCGCTGCACCCTCAAATTTGGTGCGCCGCTGCGGTCGGAAGCTGATGGAAATCTCACCAACACCGGCAGTTACTGGAACTGGTGGATTCTCCCTTTGTGGTATTGCGCTCTGATTCCATGCTCAGCTCACCACTCACCGCAGGCTGGTTGGGTCGGGGTTCGATGGATCTTTGGAGAAGGTACATCGTGGGAATTTGAGAGCCGACTTTCGTTACGGTTTTCACCTGCGGCGAGTGTCGGTTAGTGAGTCTGGCAGACAGACGGACAAACAGACAGTGCGGATGCATGATTATTACATATGCTCATAGGGTCTGCGGGCTATGTTGTGGGTAGATGGGTCGTGTTCTGACCGCGGGGTCATCTAGTGGCGTTAGATGAATGCAGACTTAGTATCACATTTTATTACCTGTATGCACGGAAATCGGGCGGCGCATCCTAGGAACTTTTTTAGAATGAACAGTCTGGCTTTGATGCCCCTTTTTGAATAGGTTCTGCCTGTTTGCACCTGCCTTGCGAAACACACTGTGTAGATGGCTCCGCAACCATAGATGGTCATAGACAAACGCCGCCCCTGCTACTCAGCCTTACCTTACACACCTTTGCCGCAGTCATCCGTAGTGGCGCCTGGCGGCGGAGTTTTGCTTCACTGCCGAGGAGTTATTTCACCGTTTTCTACCGAAATCGGTCTCTGTATCCTTGTGGCTGAGGTCGGTCGATGCTCCCCGATCTGCTGAACATGCATGCTGCTCCTCGGATCGGTGGGCGGAACCTTTCGTGGCTGGTTCAACATGCCACTGCTGGCAGCTAATTGTATGTACGTCGAGTGAATGCATGGATGGGTTGGCTGTATGTATTTGGCACCTCCTTAGATTTCGCAGATTCCTGTTATTTTCATCCTTGACTTGAAATTTCACTTGACTTGAAAATATTGGCAACCTTGTTTGTTCTGTTTCCGTCATAGTCCATCAAATCATTGTGATTTCTGACCGATTTAACATGCTAAACAATTGCAGGTGGCTACTGTTCGTGAGAATCGTTCAGTTCACCCGTTCGATACGGAAATGTTCGTGCGTGCTCGTGATCGTTCACTCGTTCTCGTACTCGTTCTCTTTCGTCACCCGGAGGACCATAAAGCTATTGTTCATATATGTAAAAGTCTATTCTCGATTACTTAGCAAGCGGTTAAAAAAGGGTGAAATACGGCGGTCACAGGTGCAGCGCAATTCGTCGTTCTCGGCACGTCGTTCACGTAAGGCCGCGTCGGCCACGTCGTAACACCGGGCCGTGTCGCGCCGGCGGAGTCGCGTTCGAGACTGTTCGTACTCAGGCCGCGTCGGCCACGTCGTATGACACCGGGCCGTGTCGCACCGGCGGAGTCCCGTTGAAGACTGTCGGGCCCCCGTCCCGTCTCAGCCCTCGTCGTAGCACAACACGTGGGCATGAGAATCAGATCAGGGGCCAGATGACACATATGTGAGCGGCGTGGCGCGGCGGACCGACCGCCGCGCTCCGAGCGCCGGCCGTCTTTGCGAAGATATCCAAAATGCCTATTTGCTCGCTAACAGCTATTATAGCAATGTTGGCCAATGGCCGGTGGTGCATTTTGGTCGGATGCTCTTTGATTAGTGTACTCAGTGATTCCAAACTAATCTGGCATGCCATAAACTTGACAATATGTCAGTCTACCGTTTGATTAGATGCCTCTCTTTCTGGTGACTTACTGATCCACTAGCCGTCACAGTGTTCAGCGTGCTATGCTGCCTGCAGCCTGCCCCTGACTGCGACTGACGAACGGTTGCCGTTGACCCGGTCGTTTGGCAGTCGACCGTGCCATTGTGTTTCGGATCGAAGTCGGGCACGCCACAGCGTTCGAACATGACCGCGCTGTTCCAACCACCAAAATCCCAAGCTAGTATGGGAAGGTAATGAGGTCTATAGGCCAAAAAACTAATTCGGGGTAGCGTTTCTTCATGTATCGCAGGGCATGAGCTGTGTCTGTGTGCCACATGGGACGGCGGGGCCTCGCTGTTCATCCGTGATCTCTGCTACGGACAGTTCCGGAGCCGGCGGCGGCGCCTGTTGACCAGTCTGTCCTCCCGTGTCCGTCTCACCATATGTGCGCCATGAGCTCATCCGGTTCCCGGCGTCACCTGTTCCGCTCTGCTGCACCGTCCACGGCCCGCGTCCAGCGCCGCTATCCGCCGCCGGCAGCTGTTTGTTTACTCTGCCTCACACGTGGTGTGGCGTCCGTCCTCTCTCCTCTTCCGCCGCCGCCGGCTGTGATGTGTGTCAAACGCCGCCGCGTCTCGACCCTGCCCTGTCCGATGAGCGACGGACAGCGACAAGCGACGACCGGCAGAGGCGGCGGCGATTGTGATGTGTGTCAAACGCTGCGTCGTCTCTGTCCTGTCCTGTCTTGTCCGGACAGCTAAGAGCGATAATGGCAGAGGCGGCGGCGGCTGTGATGACACGTGTGTCAAACGCCACCATGTCTCTGTGCTGTCCTGTGCTGTGCTGTCGTATTCTATAATGTGTTGTTCTTTCCTGTCTTGCTCTGTCATTTCCTGTCCTGTGCCGTCCTGTCGTATCCTGCCCTCTCCTATCCTGTCCTGTCCGCTGGTAGTCGGACAGCGCTGACCGGCAGAGGCGACGGTGACGGCAGAGCGGACCGTCTCTCGGTGAAGAGCCCACTTCACGCTATTCCACTGGCCGGTCGCAGCTGGAGTGTCCGCTCGCCGCGCTGTGAGGCGGTCCCTGCCCCGCGGGTTTCGGAGAGGCAGTGACCGAGCACAATGCGCCGTCATCGGTCCCTGTCACTGGCCGTAGCCTGAGGTGGTCGAACGGTGCCCAGAGGGAGGGCGGCGATCAAGGTGGTCTCTGAACGAGGTGCGTGCGTGTCCGGTGAACGCAGCGCCGTAGGGCAAAC